GAAAGCAATCCTTGATGGCATGACCACTGCAGTTGTGGCGGTGGAAGGCGCTATTATAGCAGCGATACTGAAAAAAGGCATTTGTAAAAAATTTGCCTGTGCAGACCCATAGTCCTATTGGTGCGATAAAAGTGAACATATCATTTCAGAAATAATTTTTATTCAGCGTTGAGGTTTTTAATTTACTATCATTAGTCCCTATTTTATCAGGAATCCGGTGATAACACCTGGTGGATACCTGTTCGATCGTGAAGCGATTTTGGAATATATTTTGGCACAGAAGAAAGATATTGCTAAACGGACGAAGGAGTGGGAGAAACAGAATGCCATAAATGAGGAAGAGTTGAAAAAGGTTTGTTCATTCATTCCACACTTAGGAATCCATGTGATGCTTTTGTTTTCAGGCCCAGAAGTCAGATCATGATGCTGCAGCACGAAAATTTGCTGAAGTCGAAGGCACTCCTGCACATCCAGGTTACAAAAGCAGTGTTGATGAAGCAAGGGAAGGGAGCTCGAACCCTTTGGTAATGCTTGCTGGACATTTGCACAAAGCTCTCATCTTACATGTGTTTGGCTTTTGTAGAAACGCCCGGGTAGCGCAATCACCGTTCAACCACCTCAGAAGGTAAAGGCGCTTGGTATTGAAGGCGATATCTCCAACATGAAAGGAGAAAGGTCAGATATGCTTTTTTAATGTTACTCTCTAGAATAAGATTTTTTAACATTAACGAGCTATTTTGTTAATGTGTTTATTGTGTAAAAAATTATTACTAAGGACGAGCTAATTTGGGAAGAGAGACAATGTTTTGGCTTTCAATCTTTCCTATTCCTTGAAAATCATTGCTTACAAGTTATTTAGCAAAGTGCATTTCTACGACTGAAATCTGACGTTGATTTCCAACCCTTTCTCTTCCATAGGAGTTTTGGCTGTTTCAGGAGTAAACAATTGCCAAGTTTCTGGATTCCCTGAACTCAACCCAACGGCGAATGCGTCAAAACTGGAGAAGCCGGTACGATTATTCCGTTTTTGCACACATTCTCTTATGTGTTCATGGTTATGAACTTGTTGTTTATTGGCAGTCACCAAAAAGTTTTGTGCCCCTCTGTCCGGAAAACCCTTGAAGATGAAGGATCTTATGGAAGTAAAATTCACATTAATGCCAAATGATGATGACCAGAAGAGTATTATTGCAGCAAAAGTATGCTGTCTACATATCTATGAAACTAATAGGCAGCGGCTTTTTTTTAAATCCATTTTCCACTTAGGTTGCGGTCATATTGTGCTCGTTACTCATCGAATGCGCTACAAACACATCAAGATGTGCATCTCTTAAGAAATCGTTAGTTTCAAAATCATTTTGTTTTCTTTGAAAATTTCTTTGTTCTCTACCCTTTTTTCATTCGATGTTCATACGTTGTTAGAACGTTTTTTTTAAAGGAAATCTGTTGTAACTTGGGATGTTGTGGAGAAATTAATACGGAAAGACTGGACGGATCCCGTAAACGGTGAGCCAATGTCAGAAGAGACATATCGACACGCTTCAAAGAGCGAGGTGGGTTCTCCTTAAGAAATGTTTTTGCTCACTGCACAATAAAGCAGATTAACAGAATTGTTTTGGTTAAACTTTTGAGGGCGCTATTGCAAGATACGAAGGCAGTCCTCTAAGGACTAAGCATTGGTGAGAGCGAACGAAAGCGCGACCAATGAAATTATTTACACACTTTGGAGGCCTGCTCATCCCACGGTCTGCGGAAATAATAAAAACGACCTTAAAAAAGAAGATTGTTCTACCGCTGCGTTTCTCAGAAGGCATTGCCCCATGTTCTGTACGTATCTTGGCGATATCGACCGCTGCGGTAAAGAGCCGAGTTCTGTAAATCGCTTTCAGTGGCTGATTCTAACCAAACTAACAAATTCTACATAGATACTACGTTGATTAGTACATATAATAGCATTCTCAATCTTCAGGTACTGGTTATGCAGCAACCAATGAAGTGAAAGCAAAATTGATCCGGCCGCAATTGGAGTTGCAATGATCTCATCTACTTGTTGTTCAGATAAATATTCTTTATCTACTTGACTCATTTTAATAATATATCTACCAGTTTAGCTGCGCACGCATTCGCGTGCATCACACGGGACTGCATTGGTATAAAACAGGGCCATTGATATTTTTATAGTTCACGTGGGAAACTCCGCAAATCCTGGCGCCCACAAATAGCATTTGACCCCATTCCTTCGCCAACCTTTATCCACTTTTCCCAGCCTCTGGGCTCTCTTTCAACCTCTGTAATATCACGTGACAAACATCGCCTACTTCAGCACACGCCTCCACCCACCAATAGCGTTGACCTCCTTTCCGTTGTCAGACTACACCTTTTTCCCCGTCTCCGTGACATTTTGGAACCGAATAATAAGTTCGGTGGAAAACTCCGCTCACATTGGTTGGCGCACGGCACTCTCAACACCAACATTTGACCTTCCCTCCTCTAACCGCCATCCACTTAATTCCTGGTTTCGAGGATTATGAGGATTTGTAATAAACACCGCTCACTGTGGGCTGGCTTTCGCTCAAGTCAGGGCAGGTGGGGATACTCTACCGTTAGATATTGCTCTCCTACACCGATTTTTTCTGCTCTAACAACAAGCTTCTTCGACATAGAGCTTTTATTATTGGGTATCGCTCGTTTAGAGAACGCGCTTCGCCCATCACGGGTGGGTCTCCCTAATTCGATTTAGCAACTCACCATCAGTGCCCAGTTTACCCATTTTTTCCCCGACTTCGGGCTGTTCTATTGCCGAACTCAAAACTTTGGCCGTCACCGCCCAAATTGCTCGTGCCCGCCCTGTGGGCGGAGTTCCGCCTGGCTGGCATGTGTTTTGTACTTCTTGACCCATGCCCACCTCTCAAACTTTGCATGAACTCTGTAGGTGATTCTTC